GGCTCACCATCCCTTCCTAGATGGTGACCATCGCCTCTATATGACGGCCGGCTCATCATCGTCCCGTCATCATAAATCGGACCGGCTCCTCACCATCATCGTCCGCACATCACGATCGGCCCCTCGGCCTCGACATGATTATCTATCTCAAGACCGGCTTCCTCAGAGCCTAGAGTCTTGAGCTAGAGATCGGGCTCGCCATCCCTTCCTGGATGGTGACTGTCGCCTTTATATGACGGTCGGCTCATCAGCGCCTCGTCATTATATATTGGAGCGGCTCCTCAGCGCCGCCATCCTCATATTCAGACAGGCGTCCACCGCCTCATCCTCATATTCAGACTGGCTCATCAGTGTCATCGTCCTCATATTCAAACTGGCTCCTCAGCGCCGTCGTCCTCGTATTCAGACAGGCGTACACCGCCTCATCCTCATATCGAACATCTTGCGGTCTCCGACTGAAAGGCTAAAGGAGCCCAGAGTTCAACCACGGGCCCAATCAGCCACATATTGCTCTGTCATCTTTACTTGATGACATGAAGCTCATTTACAGGCCCACCAGCCACATATCACTCCATCATCTTTATTTGATGACGTGAAGCTCATTTACGGGCCCATCGGCCAGATATCGCTCCGTCATCTTTATTTGATGACGTGAAGCTCATTTACGGGCCCATCGGCCATATATCGCTTTGTCGTCTTTATTTGATGACATGAAGCTCATTTACGGGCCCATCGGTCATATATCGCTCTGTCATCTTTATTTGATGATGTGAAGCTCATTTATGGGCCCATCGGCCATATATCGCTCCATCATCTTTATTTGATGACGCGAAGCTCATTTACGGGCCCATCGGCCATATATCGCTCCGTCATCTTTATTTGATGACGTGAAGCTCATTTACGGGCCCATCGGCCATATATCGCTCCGTCATCTTTAATTGATGACGCGAAGCTCATTTACAGGCCCATCGGCCATATATCGCTTCATCATCTTTATTTGATGACGTGAAGCTCATTTACGGGCCCATCGGCCATATACCGCTTTGTCATCTTTATTTGATGACGTGAAACTCATTTCCGGGCTCATCGGTCATACATCGCCCCGTCATCTTTATTTGATGACGTGGAGCTCTCATACAGGCCCCTCGACCATACATCGCCCCATCATCTTTATTTGATGACGTGGAGCTCTCATACCGGCCATTTAGCCGTCTCTCCTGGTCATCTTTATTTGATGGCTTGGACTTCTTATAGGCCTCTCGGCCACACGTCTCGGTCACTTTATTTGATGACCCGGACATCATATTATGGACGGTCACTCGACCTATCTCTTAGTCATCTTTATTTGATGACTAGGACTACCTATCATGCCGAGCTACGCACATACGAGGGCTAATCTTGGTCATCCCCTTAGCAGATGTCGACGGTTGCAGTTCCACACTCAGGCCGAAGGGTTCACCCCTTTTGCTTCATATTGGGGGCATCTGGTGTACTCTTTTTCCCTCATTAGGATTTTTTCCCACAGGTTTTTTTCCTAATGAGGTTTTTAACGAGGCATCTCCCCATTGTGGATCAAAAGGCGTCGACCCTCGGTCCCCTATTGAAGACATCACGAGACATGCACTACTCTACTCCTCTTCACCTCACTACATTAACCTCAAGGAGTGGGGGACTGGAAGAGCGGGAGACTTAGCGCCTCCGTTAACCAAAGAAGCAGAAATTCAAATTTTTTCACGAAGTTTACTCACCAGACGAAGACAAATAGGCCTGTGAATGGGTCGGGTCCAGACCCAAACCCGACACGGATCCGTCTTTTTTTAATGGGTATGGGTCTACATTTAATTCGGTTACCCGGACCCGGATCCGGACCCGTTATTTAATGGGTAGGGTAGGCTATATGTAGTTCCGAACCATTTAGGACCCGACCCGTTAATATTTATTTTTATATATACATATTACATTAGCTGCCGCCCACATTACAATTTAGTTTAATAAATCCGAAGAAGGATCCCTAGAGAGCCTAAAGTCTGCAGACCGCAAAGGATTCAAGAAAAAGGTTGTTCAGTTTCCAAAGCCATTAATTTTACTCTTTATTCTAACACTACGTATCTTGCAAATTATAAACCAACTCACAATTGTTGCGTTTCATTGAGTAATTACAGAGAAGTAATTACAGTTCATGTGCCATATGGTTGCCAGAAAAGTACTCGGTAGTAAGAGGTCCTAGTTTTTATTTAAGAAATTAGAATTGAATTTTCGTGAGGCGGGTCGGGTCTACCCGACCCGATTCCGAGACCCAATGGGTATGGGTCCAGAACATTAGTTCTAGACCCGTCGGGTATATGGGCCAGGTCTGGAACCCTATGGAGGCTAACGGGTCCGGGTCTGGGATACTACATTCCGGCCCGTACCCGTTGACAGGTCTAACGACATATCAGCACACAGTTCTACTCCCTTTCACCTTGAGTACTCTCGACTTGAGTATATAGACTCGGACCCCCGGGTCTCACGACTATTGGACTTGGACAACGGCCCACGCACGCTTATCGGATGTCTTTGTATTATTGTACTGTTCATATATCATCTATATGTACTAGATTAGTCTTTTGTGTAGTTGGGCCTATCTGACCCTTATTAGCGACCCGACCCATGATTTCCCTATTTATACTCCTTTTGGTGCTTGTAAACCCTAATTCCATAGAACCAATATTCACACACATTTCTACTATTCTATCATCTTCTTCACTTTCATAACTCAAATCTCTCCATTTATTATATAGTTTGGATCCCTATAATCCATCAACTTTCTTTCTCCCCACCTTTTCTTCTTCCACATCACCTGCACACATCAAATCACTCATTTTTCTTTTCTTTTTCTGTCATTTTCCCTTTCATGTGCTTTCTTCATCACAAACGAAGAATTCCTACCCGGCGGATTCCTTGTTGTTGCCGACAACGGGTGAGTGGCGACACCATCATCTCATTATTCCCGATGGACTCCTTATCATAATCATATTCTTCTACTTGGCGCCCCTCGGTTTTCAATCCTGGAAATCAAGATGCAACTACTCAGTTACATGGTAACTCCATTAATGGAGGTCCAAGTGACTAGGTACTAATGGCGAGTTCGTATCTGGATGGCGGCGGTGATTGGCAAAGCCACAGATGCGGTTGTGGCAGTTAGTGAAGAGGCGGAACGCGAAAATATTCACTAAACCTCCTGTTGATGATGTCAGCACTGTGAAGACGGGCGGTTAAGATCCACTAATTCTTGACATTAGAGATTATCTATGAGAGCTAAGTGGGTGGAAGAAGGGGGTAAATGAAAGAACATGACATAGAAAAGAAACGGGTGGTTTGATGAATTGATGAGTGCAGGTAGGGGTGGACTCGGGTCCGAGCCGGTTCCGGGTCGAGCCTAGGCCCAGGCGGGCCGGCGGTTCAGGAATGGTGGACCCGGGTCCGGCCCGAGTAGCCACCGGGTCCGGTCCGGGCCTCCGATTTGGATTTTTTTTTTTGCTTTCCTAACCCCCCCACCCCCACCCCCAACCCTCCCAAACCCCCCCAAACCCATCCTACCCATCAAGCCCAACCCGGGTGGAACCCCAAAAATGAAAAAAAAAATAAAAATAATCAATTTGGCCCGGGGCCGGTTCACCAAATTTGAGACCCGAGCCCGGACCCACCCTACCCCCCGGGCCTAAACCCGACCCGGACCCGGACCCGAGAACCGGGCCGGTCCCGGTCCCGCACAGTAGCGGGCCGGGCCGATCCACGGGCCGGGTGGCCCGACCCGAGTCCAACCATAAGTGCAGGAGGTGATGTTGAAGAAGAAAGGTGGGCACTAGGCAGAAAGAAGTTACGACGGGTTGGGCGAAAGAAGACGGAAGGAGTAGTCGGTGGGAGAGAAGAAGAAGAAAAAGGGAAATTTCACATGGACTTTTTAACCGGTCAACCAAATGCTTACCCTGCTAAATTAGACATTTGAATGTTTTTTAAAGTTTAGGGGTTTAACCGAGTGTTTGTTAAGTTCAAGAGTTAAATTGACTTTTTCGACATACTATGAGGTAGTGGTGGGCAAGAAAAACCGTAACCGACTAACCGCGGTAAATAACCGGAAAACCGATGTTTTTTTGGTTAACCATATCATGTTTTTAAAATTTTGTGGTACGGTTAACCAACCGTTAGAAAAAAATGGTTTACGGTACAATTATGATTTTGAAATTAAATACCGCCGGTTAACCGTTAATACAAAGTTAAGAATTTGTACATACATTTTGCTTATCGATTTTCAAATTACAGTGTATTTTCTGTTCCAGATATCCAATATAATCGAATTCATAAAACTGACACTCGAGACCATCAGTTCACTTTGGCAGCAACAAACTCTATCCTAGTAGGCAAGGGCAACCTGGCAACGAGGCCATGGCCGACGGAAGAACATGGCCATTTAATTTTGTTTAAGAACGTGTTTGGATGCCAATATTCTTAACCCATTTACTTAGGCCAATTTGGGTAAATGAACAAAATTGCTCCCAGCCATAGTGGACAAATGGCCCATCTGAGAACTTTCCCCAAACACGTGGGTGATACAATTACTGAATTACCACAATCAGTATAGGGGAGACAGAGAAGCATGAAGACTGAAAAAATTGATGAATTTCTACGAGCTTCAACTATGAGATTTGAGAAATCCGTGATGAACGAACACGATAAGCATATGGAGTGAACTAATAAACTATCAATTTAAAAACAACAAAATTGTTATGATTTATTGGTTAACCGTTACTCCGTTAGTGGTTAACCGAAATATTGCTTAACCGACACTCGGTTAACCATTGTTATGGTACGGGAAACGGTATATAAAATTTAGTGACCGATAGCACGGTTAACCGAAAATTGGTTAACCAAATGCGGTTAACCAACCATGCCCACCCCTACTATGAGGGACTATTTGACAATTTTCCTTTAAAACGTTCTCTTAACTTCGTGCGCAACAATGGGTTACGTACTCAAATTCAAGGCCAAGTTTAAATTCTCAAGTTCAAATACTCAAATTCAAGGCCATGTAAATTTATTTAAGTAGAATTTATATACAATATACCATGTATTCAACCAGATGAGTAAATCTTTGATTAAATAGCTTACAAAAAAAGAGGCAAATAATACTGCTTCCAAAGGGATAGTAATTTGTTTTTCCTCAATCGAACCAAAATACCCAAAATAAAGCGAACGACCAATGTAGAATAGACAATATATTGTGGAAGGAGATTTGTCATGATGAAAATTTGATGCCCTCATCGTCAGCAGAAGTTCCCTTGAATATTGCAAGCCTTCCCTTGTTCTCTAGCAACTTCAATGCTCGCATAAGAACTGTTCGGTCCAACCCGTGAAGCTCTGAGCAAGTAAACAAATACATATAGAGGGTAACACAAGACACAAACCACCAAGAGATCTTTTGTTAGTTACATGAGTGAAGCAGATAATACTCCCCCAACCTAAAATTTTCTTCTTGTTTTGTTTTTGAGCCATCATAAAAAATTGGGGAAACTATCAAATAGACTCTCATATTGTATCAAAAATGCCAATTGAGTCTTCGTATTATAGAATCACCCAATCAAAACCCTCAACTATAAAAAACAACGAAAAAGTTACTTGTTACCTAGCCGATGTGGAAGTTGATGTGGCATTGATTATTTCTGTCGTATTATAATATTCATTTGTTCTTCTTGGGCCGGAAGAAATATTCATCTCTTAACTTACCATTCTTCAACATACGGCCATCATTGATGTGGAGGGCTGGAAGAAATATGAATTGTTTCTTCTCCTTTTGCTCTCTTATATTTCTCTTAACTTAGGTTATTTACTCGGTGAGTACTCGGGGAGTACTCTCTACTCGGCATCTTACCTTGCAGAGTAGCACCTTAACTCGGCCCGAGTTAATTTTCCGAGTTACTCGCCGAGTACTCGGCGAGTTAGTCAACTCGGTAAGTTGGTCAGATTGGCGAGTTACTCGCTCTTACTCGGTGTATAAAAAAAACTGCGCACAAAACCTAAACATTTTATCGGTCATCGTTTGGGGCTTCGACTACTGCTGCTACATCGTTTGGAGCTGCTACTGCTACTGCCAGGAGCTCCAACCGCTACTACTACGCTTGGTTTTAAAAAGGTGTCAGGCACCTCTAAGCGATGAGCCGATGACTTCATCGCATCCAAACATCCGCACAGCAGATTCCATAAGGCGCGCCTTTTACCTAGTCTAGTGCCGCCTTTTGCGCCTCTTTAAAGCGTCGCCTTTCACGCCTTATGGAATATGTCCGCTGAACTTCCTTCAAGCCTTTTGGCGATTCATCCCTCTCAAACCTTCCGCTCCTCTGTCGTAGATTGCCGTTTTTTATGTTTTTTTCTGCCGTTCTCTTTGTTTCTTTTTGTTCTGCTGCGTAAGTTTCTTTCTTCCGTTTTCTTTGTTTTCTTTCTTCTGCTGGTCTTTGTATTCTTTATACTTTTATTTTTAAAATAAATAAAATAATTCAAATTATGTAAATATATAACCATATAACAATCATCCCTAAACCCTAATCCCAATCGGAATTTTATCAATTTTAAAAAATAATAAATATGGTTTGTCGAATCTGTCAATTTGATTGTTTAACTTTATACTCTTGATACTTTATAAGTTTATTATATAATAATTAGTCAAACATATATGACAGCTTGTTGTTATTAATAATCATTATATAAAAGTTTATTTAAAAATTTACTATTAATTGCTTAGGATTTGAATTAAGTACTAACAGCTTATTGTAAATATATTTACAATTAATAGAAGTATTTTTTAGAAGAGTGCTTCATGTAGAAGTTATAAAAATATATTTTACCTCGAGTAAATCGATGAATCGCCTCATGCCGCCTCACGCCTTTTAAAACTGAGCTACTACGAGCTGCGACTGCTACAGTGCTGCTGGGAGTCACCTGCGAGTGCTACAGGGCTACTGCGAGGAGATGCAATTGTGACATCCACGGGTGATTCTTTCCCTCGTTTCTTCTTCCTCTTGTTAAAAAAAATTAAATCAATCATGGGATTATTCAAACTGCTGCAGCCGCAATTGTTGACCATTGAATTCCAAACTACTAAGTTTCTTAGTTATTATGTTCCTGCGATCGAGGTAGCCGACTAAATTGAAAGGTAAATTTTATCGTACAGCAACTAGGCCGGCATTAATGTATGGCGTAGAGTGTTGGGCGGTGAAGCAATGCCACATTCAAAAGATGAGTGTGACAGAGATGCGTATGTTGCATTGGATGTGTGGACATACCAGAAAAGACCGCCTGAGGAATGAGGTAATCAGACAAAAGGTGGGAGTAGCACCTATAGAAGATAAGATGTAGGAGTCTCGTTTGCGGTGGTTTGGGCATGTGCATAGAAGACCGAGTGATGCACCTGTTAGACGACTTGAGGGGTGGGGAGAAGATTCAGAGAAGAGAGGGAGGGGAAGATCCAAACAGACTTGGATTAGAGTAATCAGAACTTATGTGCGTCTTCTTGGGTTGGATGAGAGTATGGCTTTGGAGAGAGCAAAGTGGAGGGCGCACATCCATGTGGACGATTGGTGTCTTGTGTACATTTCCTCTCTTGTTTCTTTTATCGTTTATCTTCCTTATCTTTTTATATTCTTATGTTATTTTTATCTTCTAGCTTTTTTATGTTCTTTTATTTATTTTTCTTTTATCTTGGTTATATTCTTGTGTTATTATTATCTTATATTTATGTATCTTTATTTTATTCATTTTATCTTACTTTTTTTTCCTTTTCTTGTCCGCCTTCTCTTTTTGGCATCGATATCATAGATCGACTCATGTTAGCCGACCCCAAATTCTTTTGGGATTAAGGCTTGGATGTTGTTGTATTTATCTTTAACTGATTAACTCCAGAATTTGGGTCTCTTTTGTTCAGCAGAACCCCTCCTGTGAGTTAACAGAAGACCTACTGCCTTTGCATCTCTTAGAGGCTAACCGGACAGAACCCCTACCAGAAGACCATCCGCTGCCAGTCTGTTCTGTCAACAGAACAGGCTATTCTGTTAAATCTGGTACTTAACTTGAAAAAGTTAAAAACCAGTACAGTCTATTCACCCCCCCCCTCTAGACTGTACCCAACACAACCGGGACCAACAGTTCTATACATACATTTTTTAGCAATTACTTATTTATACAAATAATTATATGTATTATGTATACTTCAAATTTAACGCATTTTGTATTATGTGTTATAATTGTTTCTACGGTGATTTGTCTATGAGGATGACAACTCTACAGATGTTCAAGCGCAACTCGACGAGGTTAGTAACATATTCCATGATTTATTTAATGAGTTTAATGAACAATATGGTAATGCACCTCTCCCCCGAAACCAGTTACTTCTCATCTAAAGGAAAATGTCTTTTCAAATCTGCAATATCTAATCTTTTCTGAAAAAATAAATCTACTCCTATCGTTGCACAAAGCTCGATATCATCTTGTCCGCCTTCTCTTTTTGGATGAGAGTAATCAGAATTGATATGCGTCTTCTTGGGTTGGATGAGAGTATGGCTTTGGAGAGAGCAAAGTGGAGGGCGCACATCCATGTGGACGATTGATGTTTTGTCTACCTTTCCTCTCTTGTTTCTTTTATCCTTTATCTTCCTTATCTTTTTATATTCTTATGTTATTTTTATCTTCTAGCTTTTTTATGCTCTTTTATTTATTTTTCTTTTATTTTGGTTATATTCTTGTGTTATTGTTATCTTATATTTATGTATCTTTATTTTATTCATTTTATCTTACTTTTTTTTTCCTTTTCTTGTCCGCCTTCTCTTTTTTGGCATCGATATCATAGATCGATTCATGTTAGCCGACCCCAAATTCTTTTGGGATTAAGGCTTGGATGTTGTTGTATTAAGCTTTCATTTTCATATTAATTTTTTCTTGGCAGTGTGTATGTTTGGAGCTTCGTATATTCCCCTCCCCTGTCTCATTTCTTATTCTCCCCCTACTGAAAGTATATTAATTTCTTATTCTCCATGATAAATACACACTCACAAGCATCTTTTAATTTACAGTCATGAACTCTAATCAATCTGGTCAGGTCAGGCCTCTAATGGTGCTGAACCTACTACTACTACACTTGAAGAGAAAATCAGATGATATAGGATGGACATGAGGATAGAACAAAGATCCTACTAATAGGATTTCTATCCTTTTATTCACTTGTATGCATTTTAAGACAATTTAAAGACTATTTTAAGACTACTGTATTTCTATAATTTCGGGCACCTATATTATTATATTTAATTAATACAAGGCCGAGTAATCACCGAGTAATCCCGAGTAATCGGTCCTACTCGCTACTCGACCCTTGACCGAGTTGCTACCGAGTAAACTACGTACCTAGCGAGTCTTAACTCTTTCTTTTTTCTTTAATTCATTCTTACTTCTGTGACTCTATTCCCTCACAGAGCAAGGAACGAAAGCTTATATACGAAATATATGTTAACTTGTTTAGCTGTGGAGAGGTTATATATAGAGAGAGAGAATGGATCATATGAGAACATGATCTAAGGGGAGAAATCAAAATGATTCTAGAGCGTTGGATTTAGGTATCGTGCATCATGTAAAACATGAATGTGCATATAAAAAATCAGAAAATATGCATTTTCATTGTGCAAAAGTTTAAACGTAAATGTGCAGATTTAAATTTTGCAATACTTTAACTATAAATGTGCATTTTCCCCTAATGTGCACCGTTTTGAAGTGTTTTCATTTCTCACGTTAAGGATTGATCTCACCGGAACCGCACCCTACACACACACACAATTAGGATCAAATACAAATAGTCTTTCCCATGAAATGTAGGAATACATCTGGAGCATCGAATTAATTGGCATAGAAATCCATCAAAATATTTTGAAATCCATAAAAAATAATAGTTAGTGAAATCCATAGTGTTTGAGGATGTCTGGATTTTTAAAGACTCCATGAAAATCCGAATTGAGAATACCCAATTTTGATGCAATTCTAAATTTTGTATGGGAAAACTACTTTTTATTGGAACTAGACCCCCTATACACACACACACACACACACACACACATATATATATATATATATATATTAGGAGTAGAAGATAGATTGATTATCATAAGAGCACTAAGCAAATAATGAAGTAATCAACAATTTTTAACAAATGTTGTGTGAATGCAAGAGATTAATTAATTATATGATGCATGATTCTCATCCCCTTTCAAGTAAAGGCTCCATGAATTTCAAGATTTATCGGTAAGCAACTCATCATCGTCCTCATCACGGTAAATATTTTCTGTTGTTTTCCAGATTTGAATAGTATTATCTTCTCCAACATTCGCATGTGAAACGACCAAATAATTAGCTGGCAATCATCTCCAACAGACCCAATTATGAATTACCCAACCCCATTACCCAAAACATGTTTTCATTCTTTAAATGCCATGAGACATTTTCAACCACACTTTGATGTGCATAATAGTTGAAATCTTCGTTGGCACCTTATCATTAGGTGAGGCTGATATAATCCATAAGCAAATTTTCCAGTCGTTTGAACCCCTCAAAAGATTTCCATCCCTGAATGGGCTTACATGACAAGCTACACCCTTGTTTATCATGGCCTTGCAATCTCAAGTCAGGGTCACAGCCTCACAGGAACCTTCATTAGTTCTCGTGGATGGCCAACTTGGAAAAATCGTTGGTGTATATCTGAAGATAAATTGCTAGTCTGGAAAATTTATGCCACTCTTCCATATCATCGGGATAACACGCTAACCAGTTGACCAACTGGCTGAAAACTCAATTGGGTTATTTTATAGTTGAGGGGTTTGATTGGGTGATTCTATAGTATGGCAACTCAATTTGACGTTTTTGGGTTCTCACTTCCTTCTAAGAAGAGAGTTGTGTATTTAATATTGTTTCAAATGTTTCTACATAAACCTGAACTACAAAATTTCATACTTCCTTAATAAGTATGCGAAGTCAATGCAAGAAGAAAACTTTGAGTAATTAATTAATAATAATAATAACAATAATAATAAGAGAATATTACCCAAAATAGGATTAAACAGTTTGAAAATTCCACAATAGGAAAATTCCAAAATAGGACTGTCATGTTTTTATTCCCAAAATAGGACTAATTACTGCCCTGTTTTGGCAGTACCAGACTTCAAACATGGCAGTAATTAGTCTTAATTTAGGAATAAAAAACATGACAGTCCTATTTTAGAATTTTCAAACTGTTTTAGTCCTATTTCGGGAACTTTCCCTAATAATAATCATGATAGTGATGATGATGATACCATTTTGTCATATTACTCCCATTCAGTTTTGTATACTTGCAAGAGCAACTTACCTGTTCCTCTGGATTCGGTCCCAGTACGCATTTCTTCAACTGTCATTACACTGTCCTCCAAACCATTTTCCTTGACCTGAGAATTTTATCAGATGTCATGAGAAAGAGCATACTGCCATTAGGGTTGTAAACGAATCGAATCAAATATCTATCTATTCGATTTGATTATGATAACTTTTTAAAATTTATATTTGTTCAGAATTCAAACTCATAAGAGTATTCATATTTTATTTGATTATATTTTCAAATATATTTGCTTATATTTGAATATTCATATTTGAATATATCATTATATATTTTATCTTAATTATAATATATATTATTATACATAGCATAAATATAAATGTTTAAAGAAAGAATGACAAAAAAAGACTACCAGCTTTCATCTAGACAAAAATAGGACTTAATTTGAATAGACAAAAAAGTGATTAATTAAAATTGAATGGACACAATTAGCCCAAAATAATTCCCGTCTGCAAACCTCCGAGGAGACCAACGCCCAATCTCCATTCTCTTCTACAACGCATTTCAGTTCAGAAACTCCATCCGATGCCTCCAAAATCCAGATTGTCTTCTCTGCCCCCGCCTCCAGGTTGTCTTCACCGTCTCTGCCTTCGGTTCATCTTCTCCGCCTCTAGGTTGGCACCCTCTGCTTTTCTTCTTCTTCTTTAATTTTTGTCCGATTAGAGGTGAAGGCAATGAAGACGATGTGCCTCAGGTGTAGAAAACGGCTACAACTTCAGATCGGAAAAAATGGAATCAGTTAGATTTAAGATCTGTGGCGGCAGCCAGATGTGGGTGGGCTTTGGTATGGTGGTTTGGCGATTGTCACGGTTTCTGGTTAAGTTGGGCAGTGGCCGCGGCTAGATCTGTGGTTGTCGGGGACTGTGACGGATCTAGGGGTAATGGCGGCGGCTAGAGATAGTAAGCGATTGTGTCGGAGCTAGGGTTGGGTAGTGGCTGTGGCAGCTAGGGATGGGACAGGTCAGGGATTGTGATGGAGATAGGTCAAGGCCGTGAGGGGGGGCTATGGGGAGTAGGGTGCAGTTGGAGAAGGGGATGCAGGGAGGTGTTTGGGTGGTTTGTAACTGGCGGCGGCGGTGGCGGAATGGTCACTGGAGGCGGCAGGGACTGGTCACTGGCAGCGGTGGTGGACATGTCACTGGTGGCGGCAGGGACTGGTCACTGTCGCTTGAAAAGAAGAAGTCATGCCGCTTGGACTGCTGGGTCATCGTCCACTAGAGGAAACTTGTGAACAACAAATGGGATCCGGCGAACCACCTGCAAGTGAAGCACGAACTGCGACCGAAATCCACCATACCGTTATCGAGACCAAGAAGCGACCGGCGCGCGACTGTACTGCGATCCGGTAATTGCGATCCGGAATGCAAAACGCGGGTACCTCAGTGAGTCAAATATATCAATATTCATATATGCATTTGGTAAATGTTCGAATCAAAATTAAAATTTTTTATTTGTATTCTTATTTGAGTTTTTTGAATTCAAATACACATGAATTTGAATAACGAATTGATCGTAAAATATTTGATTCATTTACAACTCTAATTGTCATACATTTGATAGGGACCCACACAGAATAATAAGAAATCAGAAGAGTATTAAAGTTAGTATAAATAGAGGTTGAGGGCAGAATGGAAAGGAGTTTTGGGAATTATCATTTAGGCATGGGACTTGGAGAGTGGGCACTCTTAAACTGCCTTTGTATTTCTCTTTCTATAATTTATGTTAAACGACACTTTCAGTTGATACACCCTCTATCTTCTTCATCTTGATTCTTGAATTTACTGTGAAATTAGCTAGTACCTAACATTGGTATCAGAGCGTCAGCTACTCAAGGAACGATGGAAAGTAGACTGGAGATCCTGGAACGCAATTTTGAACGCTATCACGAGGAAAGGCGGAAAGAGATCGCGGAATGGCGCGAATTGATCCTGCAGCAGAACGCTCGACATGAACGAAGAAAATCAAGAATTTCAAGGTGTCACACTGTACATGAGAGTCCTACATCGTCTGAAGCCAGAGGTAAGTCGCGAACTTCATCTCAAAGTTCGCAGTCGCGAACCGTTTCTTTGAGTTCGCAGGATTGGTCGCAAACTTCTTCTCGCAGTCCGTCAGCAACGTCGCAGTTGCGAACAGTTCCTTCCAGTTCGCAGATGCGAACAGTTCCTCCCAGTTCACAATTCGTAGTTGATGTCCCCAGTTCGCAGGTTTCTTCGCAGATTTTTTCCCAGAATCCTTCATCAGCTCTCATTTCCCGTCAAAGTGCAACGCAATCGATAGGAGAATTTCTAAGTTCGATGGATTCCTCACTCGCCGATCTTTACCACTCATATTCAGCACCCGTCGATTCTTACTGTTCACCATCTTCGTCACAAACAGCTCCACACAGTCTTTCGCAGGATTCCTCACCAACATTTTTTTCCAGTTCGCAAGCTTCATCTGGAGTAGATGTTTCCAGTTCTCAGACTTCTTCGCGAGCCTATTCTTTATCGCCTAGGGCAGAGAAAGTCACTGAGGGCGATGATGAAAGCGAGGAGAATTTGTCAGTGAATGTTGGACCGGAAGTTGGCTCAATTGCTCATTTTCTCAAGTACAAGTCTGTCAAGTCAGATTCGGGAACCAATATTTTCAAGATTCTGCAGGCATGTGACACTGATGCTTGTGTGGCAAAGTCCACGATGACTTCTAGGTTCGTACAAGAGATGAACTGGCCTAATGTTTTAAAGTCTGAAATGGTGTACTATCATTTTGAAGTCATTGAACAAGTTTGATAGTTTCATATGTGAGGGTGTTACTTCTATGATGGATACTCAAAATGGGTTGGAAGCAGGATTTACTGGGAATATTACAGAATATGAGAGATATGTTACCGGTGTTGAAGTTGTCATGTATCTGATGTCTGTTAAAGATCTCACTCCCGGTCGTTCCTCTGAGGCATTATAGTTGGTGAAGTGGTTATGGGACTGCCATTAGTTTGTATAATTGTTCAAGATAGAGGTTTAGATTTTGATTACAGATTTCATATGGCAAGTGCTGGTCCACGGATCAAGATTCTCAGGAAAAGAGATAAGGATCAAGAATGTGACAATATGTTGAGAACAATTAGTAATAGGAGATGGATGGAGAGGTGCGTTGATATTGTTGAAAGTCAGGACCAGTTTTTTATTCTTGAGGTTGAAGGGTGCACATTGGTACTTTCTGCAAATGGGGACTTCTCTGGTTCCGGATTAAGATGGGATGATGAATTTGATCGTGGTAGCATTGTTGAAAGAAAATTTCACGCAATAAAGGCATTCGGTGCAGTTAACAATTTTAAGAATTGTTAAAATTGTTAATATTGTTAACAATATTTTTGAACTTGTTTCAGGATACCTGATGTGTAGAATCAGTGTGTACCAGGACTCTGCTATTCAGACTGGTGTTAATGGAATGGAAGCTGAAGTAAATTTTCAACCTTATAAAATGGTCTTATGCTTCAATGATCTCGAAGTGAACTGTTCCAGTTGTGGAATTATAATGGAATCCAAGCTAGCTGATGATGTTGGAAAGATAGAAGTGGAGCCCTACTTGTTTGGAAAAATCTTAAAGGCTTCTTTCTCCTCACTTGAGCTAAGAAAGTTGGATGCAGATCCATTAGGGAAGCAAAGAGAATTCAGGAATGTTTATCTCAGGGGCCGTTTGGAACACTGTTCATGCGCATATCAGAATTGTTTGAAGCAAACAAGAGGAACAGTTTTCTCCTTGAAAAATATTATGAGGCTAGAGATACTGAGGCTAGAGATATTGAAGGTATAGAGCAGATCCACATGGCCCCTATATCAGTTTTCAGAAATGGTGAGAGAGGGGTATGAATATGATTGTGATTGCTACTCATTCAGGAAGAATCTATATTATATTGGAAATTGTTTCGGATAGCATAAAAAACTGTTCTCATCAAAGAGCATCACCAGTTCTTCCTGCAATTATAGATGGCCTGGCCCATGAGAATGGCTCTGTAGGGGTTGTAACACTTGGTGCTGGCCAGGTTTTAGTGAAGCATCATGTAACCATGCCCTTGCCTCAGCTGCTTGTTATGGAAAAAGTGATAGCAATGGTTCAGCTCATGAAGTTCAGGGTCCTGGAATTTGGAAGATACTGGGAAGGAAGAGGCGCAAGGATGAAGAAGAAGCGGTTCGTCAGGACTGTCTCCTATCACCCACCTTGAGGACAAGGTGGTTGTCAAAGGGGAGTAATGAAAATAATGATATGGACCCACATAGAATAATAAGAAATCAGAAGAATATTAGAGTTAGTATAAATAGAGGTTGAGGGTAGAATAGAAAGGAGTTTTTGGAATTATCAATTAGGCTTGGGACTTGGAGAGTGGGCACTCTTAAACTGCCTTTGTATTTCTCTTTCTATAATTTCTGTTAAATGACACTTTCAGTTTATACACCCTCTATCTTCTTCATCTTGATTCTTGAATTTACTGTGAAATTAGCTAGTACCTAACAACATTGAAGGGCATTTACCAAAAAAGGGTCTTATTTTGTTAAAGTGCAACTCTTATAAGTGATCAATCTTGCTTAAACCCTGTTTGGTAATCATTATCCGCCCATCTGCTGATTTTTCTTATCATTAGACTAAGCAGAATAATTGAATAAGTAGCATTTAAGTTGTTTATTTGGCTGAAAATAAATGTTACCAACAAATCAGCATTATTTGGTACTTATTCAATTTATTAAGCACTCACAATTTCTTGCGCTCGTTTGGAGTTTGAGGTGGCTGGACATCAATTTATGGCTTCGTTTAGAGTTTGAGGTGGCTGGCCAATAATTTATGGCAGAACTCTATGTTTTACCATTAGCGGACTCAACATGATCCCAGGGGTACAATGGTTACGGGGATTAGGTTCGATTATCTGCAACTTTGCTCACCTATCAATGCAGTTCCAGTGGCTGGCAGCACGATATAGTGGCACGAACAAGAGGCATGTACACCACTTCTGGCACATGTCATGTTAGGTCAACCTACAAATAGTAGCAACCTTCATGCCCTTATAGAAGAGTTTTCATATTTGTTCAATCTGCAAACCAGACTGCCTCCCAGCCATGCTTATGACCACCAGATCACCTTGTTACCGGGGCAGGTCCTGTTGTGGTCCAGCACTACCGATATCCCTACTTTCATAAAGAAGAAATCGAAAAACAATGTTCTGAGATGCTATCACAATAGATTATTCAGCCTAGCCACTCTCCGTTTTCCTCATCTGTATTATTGGTTAAGAAATCAGATTCATCATGTCACTTTTGTATGGATTACAGAGAACTAAACTCTAAAACAGTCGCATAAATTTCCAATATGTACGTGGTCATATGGTCTGTGGCACCTGAGTCAATGGTTTTTGATAGGTACCTGGCTAATTCACAGTGATTTCAAGAAGTAAAAGATGAAGAAGAACGATATGCGTAACAATGGAAGCGGTCGTATAACAGAAAATGTAGAGAGAGAAATACAAAGGTGGGTCTGGGTCTCCAAAGTCCCAGACCCAAATAACAATTCCCACCTCCTTTCTATTCTCCCTCACCCTCTATTTATACTCACTATTCTAATATTACTATTATTCTTATTTATTATTATTATCAGTGCTATTCTACAGGAGTCCTATCATATCTCCCCCCTTGAACAACCACCTTGTCCTCAAGGTGGGTGATAGGAAACAGCCTTGACCTTCCGCTTCATCTTCATCCTTGCGCCTCTCCCTTCCCAATACCTCACTGATTTCTGAGCGGGGAGATTCAGCACTTGATCTTTCCAATTGACATATGTTTCTGCAGGATCTATCTGGTGAGGTTTCATTCTCTTCATTAACCTTGAAGCCTTCAATAGCCACAAAAATTTCCTTGCTTTCTTGAGGCTCCTCCGAGGTTCTCTCTTCTGAAACTCATTGTGCTGGATGCAAGTTTGATGTAGCTTGTGAAAGACATTAGAATATTCTTTAGAATATGCTTTAGAATATTCTTCCATCTTTAGAATATGCTTTAGAATATTTTAGGAGTATACTCTAGGATATTATTATTGTATAGAATCTTAAAGGAATATTCTATCTTTGTAATGTATACATAAAGGGCTTAATCCTTCAATGAAATACACAGAAAATTTTCTTCTCATTACTATTCTCTTTATTCTTATAACATGGTATCAGAGCTTCATAGAACATTAGTCCAGAAATTTTAGCTTTACTCTGTGACTTATTATTATTATTTTGTTTTCCCAGAACCTCTCCCAGAACATCCAATCCCAGAAACTCTATTCTATTCCAGTTCAGTTTCCATTTTTTTTCTCTTTTGGTTCGAACTTTGGTTTACAGAACATCAGCCGGCGACCAGAAAACCAAAATCCAGAGCTTCAGAACTTCAGCCGACACAACTTCAGAACCTTAGTCCTGCGCCTACCTCACCTCCACCCTATGCTGGTGCGCCTTCCGCCGGAGACCAGAAAATCAAAACCCGCAGGTCCAAACCACCGCGTGTGAGCTAGACGCGCCGCCGGATGCTCTCGCAGCCTACTCACGCGCCGGCGCGTGAAGGCGTATTTCTGGCCGGAGCTTCGACCGGAGACCATCACCATACTCGCCGGAGTGTCCTCTAGTGATATCCAGGCACACTTCGTTACAATATTGGAAGCTTTCTTTGTACAGTAAACGTCAAGGAAGGATGAGTGTGGAACTGCGAACGTAGACGGGCTACTTGGACCTGCGTTTCTGGCGCTAAGAAGAAAGGGCTGTAAGTTCACTTAATATCTTGTTAAAAAAAACAGAACAAAAAAAAATGTCAGGTTCTGACGCTGACACCTCCGCGGTAACACAAAATCGGTCTTTGATAGTTTCTGAAGTTATTCCCATTAATTTTAAAATTACTGAGAATAAACTTTGTGGCTCCAATTATCTTGAATGGAGTAAAACTATCAAACGTTATTTAAGGAGCATTGATAAATATACCCACTTAGTTGATGACCCGTCAAAGGAGGAGGTTGATAAAGCTGCTAGTGATGCATGGCTTCGTGATGATTCTAGATTATTTATCCAGATTCGGGACTCTATGGAAAACGACGTCATGGGGTATGTTAGTCATTGTGATACTGTGAAAGAGCTGTTTGATTATTTGGAATTTATGTATTCTGGCAAAGGTAATCTTAACCACATCTATGAGGTGTGCAAAGCATTTTACAAGGCAGAAATGAAAGATAAGCCTCTCACGGCTTATTTTATGGATTTCAAGAAAACGTATGAAGAATTTAATACCTTAATGCAATTTAGTCCTGATATCAAAGTGCAGCAGAAACAACGAGAACAAATGGCAGTCATGAGTTTTTTGGCTGGCCTTACATCTGATTTTGAAACAACCAAGTCACATATCTTGTCTAGTGATGTGGTCTCTTCTCTTCAAGATGCTTTCAGTAGAGTGCTTCGCACTGACACTTCATCCACATCATCAGCACCTCAGCCAAGCAATGCTTTTGTAGGGCAAGTACCAACATTCCCCAATGGAGGTGAGAAATGGCCATGCACTGGATCGATTGCAAAGGAGTAGTCTGCAACTACCGTAAGAAACCCGGGCACTTGATCAAAGATTGTCGAAAGCTTAAGTTCAAAAATCAGGGAAATCAAGTTGCTCACATTGCTTCAGCCACACAGCCATCTAATGGGTCCATCACTATGTCTTCTGAGGAATACGCCAAATTCCTTTGTTACCAGGAGGCTCTAAAGCATTCATCTACTCCTATCTCAGTTGTCGCTAATTCAGGTAATCCAAACACATGTCTTGTATCTTCATCCTCAAAATGGGTTATCGACTCAGGAGCAACAGATCATATGACACGTAATCCTAGTCTTTTTTCCTCATTCCACACACCTCTTCATACTTCTAGTGTTACTTTGGCTGACGGATCTACGTCACCTGTTCTTGGTACGGGTACAATTGTCCCAACATCTACCTTACCTTTGTCACCCGTCCTAAGTCTTCCAAATTTTGCTTTTGATTTCGATCAGCAAAATCACACGTAAACTTAACTGTTCAGTAACCTTTTTTCGTGGATATTGTGTATTTCAGGATCTGATGACGAATTGGGTTATTGGTAAAGGATATGAGTCGGCTGGTCTGTATCTCTTGGATACATCCTTACCCAAATCAATATCTTGTCTTGGGGTTGGAACTGTGTTAGAGGCTCACTATCGACTAGGTCATCCCTCTCTTCCGTTGTTAAAGAAACTTCATCCTCAATTCAATAAGGTGTCATCTTTACAGTGTGATTCATGTCAATTTGCAAAACATCATCGAACTAGTCTAAGTCCCCGAGTCAATAAACGAGCACATGCTCCTTTTGAACTTGTTCATTCTGATGTTTGGGGCGCTTGCCCTGTTGTGTCCAAATCTGGTTTTAAATATTTTGTTACCTTTGTTGATGATTATTCTCGTATGACTTGGATTTATTTCATGAAGCGTCGTTCCAAGATATTTTCTCATTTTTGTGCCTTTTGTGCTGAAATCAAAACTCAATTATGTTCGTATTTTAAGGGGAGACAATGCTCAAGAATATTTGTCTGCCTCATTTAAGTTGTATATGGCTCAACATGGCATAATTCATCAAACTTCATCTGTAGACACACCTCCCCAAAACGGAGTTGCTGAACGAAAGAACAAACATCTATTAGAAACTGCGCGGGCTCTTCTATTCCAAATGAATGTGCCAAACCATTTTTGGGCGGATGTTGTGTCTACCGCGTGTTTTTTGATTAATCGAATGTCATCTACTGTTTTGGACGGTAAAACTCCATATAAGTGCCTATTTCCAAATAATGAAAATTTTCCTGTCCCTCCTAAAGTATTTGGTTGCACTTGTTTTGTACGAGATGTTAATCCCCATTTAACAAAGTTAGATCCCAAGTCATTAAAGTGCATTTTCTTAGGCTACTCTCGAGTTCAAAGGGGGTACAGATGTTTTTCTCCAAGTACGGGTCGGTATCTTGTTTCAATTGATGTCTCCCTTATTTAAAATACACCTTTTTCATCAACGGAGACAAATATTTGTAGGGAGAATGATGATATACTCATTTACGTAGTCACTATACCCGAGTCCAATACTTCAGCAGTTCTTCCACATGTTACTTTTCCTGAGCCTAGGCCTCCGGTACACTTGGTATACACCCGTCGACACAAAGTACAAGATCATCCTCCACATGTGGTTACTTCTCCTTATACTGATCCGATCTCTAACTCATGTCCTGAACCGATACCTGCACCTTCAGATCCTGTCTCTACATCAGATCTTGACCTCCCCATAGCACTGCGTAAAGGTACACGGTCTTGTACTCATCATATTTCTTCATTTGTATCGTATAATCAATTATTATCTGCCTCATGTTCTTTTATTGCTTCCATTGATTCTATTTCTGTTCCCAAATCTGTTAAAGACACTTTGTCTCATCCTGATTGTCGTCATGCCATGGTAGAGGAAATGAATGCTTTGGATCTTAATGGTACTTGGGATTTGGTAGACTTACCTACAGGAAAGAAGTCTAGGATGTAAGTGGGTCTTTGCTGTAAAAGTTAACCCTGACGGATCCGTTGCTCGGTTGAAAGCCCGATTAGTTGCGAAGGGTTACGCTCAAACCTATGGTGTTAATTATTCTGACACATTTTCTCCTGTTGCTAAATTAACATCTGTCATGTTACTTATTTCTCTCACTGCAACTCATGGTTGGCACTTACATCAGTTGGACATTAAGAATGCAATCTTGCACGGTGATCTTCAGAAGGAAGTTTATATTGAGCAACCTCCAGGGTTTGTTGCTCAGGGGGAGTATGGGAAAGTCTGTCGACTTCGTAAGTCTCTTTATGGTTTGAAACAGAGTCCCCGTGCATGGTTCAGAAAATTCAGCCAATCAATTGAACGATTTGGAATGATAAAAGGCAAATCAGATCACTCTGTATTTTATAGACGAACGAAAGCGGGTATCACATTGCTTGTGGTGTATGTCGATGATATTGTGATTACAAGGAGTGATAATGCAGGTATTTTGGCCCTAAAGAATTTTCTTCATAGTCAATTCCAGATGAAAGATTTGGGCTCATTGAAATACTTCTTGGGGATTGAGGTTACACGGAGTAAGAAAGGCATATTTTTATCTCAACGTAAATATGTGCTTGACTTACTAAGTGAAACAGGAAAATTGGGGGCAAAACCAAGTAATACTCCAATGATTCCCAATGTGCAACTCACTCATGAAGGTGTGCCATTCGAAGATCCGGAAAGATATAGACGGTTGGTTGGAAAACTTAATTATCTTGCAGTTACACATCCAGATATTGCATACTCAGTGAGTGTAGTAAGTCATTACATGTCATCTCCGACAGTTGATCATTGGAATGTTGTAGAGCATATATTATGTTTCTTGAAGGGGACAGTGGGACGAGGTATTGTTTATCAAAATCATAATCACATGAGAATAGAATGCTTTGCAGATGCTGATTGGGCTGGAACTAAAGATGATAGAAGATCCACATCTGGCTATTGCGTCTATGTTGGTGGTAATCTCGTCTCTTGGAAAAGTAAGAAGCAGAATGTGGTTGCTCGTTCGAGTGCTGAATCAGAATATCGGGCTATGGCACAGTCGGCATGTGGGCATGTGAGATAATCTGGATAAACCATTTATTGAGTGAAATGGGATTGAAGACACCAATGCCTGCTAAACTCTGGTGTGATAACCAAGCTGCTATACACATTGCCAACAATCCAGTGTTTCATGAGAGAACAAAGCATATTGAAGTTGATTATCACTTTGTTCGAGAAAAGATACAACAAAGATTGATCTCTACAGGATATGTGAAGACTGGAGAGCAACTTGGAGATTTGTTCACTAAAGCACTAAATGGAATTCGTGTTGGTTACTTATGTAACAAGTTGGGCATGAT